GAAAATGTTTTGAGAATGATGATGGCAACAAATGTAAACATGTGCTTGACATAATGGATGGGTGCATGGATTGTGATAAGAGTTGTAGGAACCCCAAATAAAATGATTTTCAAAAATTGAAACAGCAAAAAAAATACAATTTTTTAAAACTAGCATTTTATTAAGGGCATCTGAAAAAAAAACCCAACCCAGTGGCAGTTCCTTAAATGGTTTAATCCTTCTACAAAAGAACATTAAGTACTGTGCTTTTTAGAAATTAGGAATCTGTACTAATCTTTCTGCAGTGTATTCATAATAGTCTGGCAGTCTCCTCCCTAGGAATGAGTCACCAGCCTTCCACAAACACTAATTGGATTCTATTAAGTCACAGTGACTTCTAATAAGGAGAAATGCTAGTTTCACTTTCTAACCATGTATCATTTATTTAACGAAACAGCACATTGCCATATATATGAACAATTATAAGCACATGCATGAGAGGGAGCTGCAAAAACTTTGTAGGAAAATTTAAAAGATAATGATATTTTCCCTTTAATTTTTTAAATTAAAAGGTAAATTTAAATTTAAATTAAATATAAAAGGAGAATCTATGCCACTGAAATATGGTGTTGGTGAACAACATTGACTGCATCATGGAATGCCAGAAGAATGAATATATGCCTCGGAAGAAGTACAGCCAGAATACTCCTTAAACTTCCTTCACATTCTTTGAACATGTTATCAGGAGGGATCAGTCCTTGGAGAAGGACATCATGTCTGGTAAAGTACCCATTCAGCAGAAAGGGGGAAGACCCTCAATGAGATGGACACAGTGGCTGCTACAATGGGTTCAAATACGGCGATGAGGATGGGACTTCTTTCTGTAGAACATAAGATAGCTATGAGTCAAAGCCAACCTCATGGCACCTAATTCATGTGTGTGTGTGTGTGTGTGTGTGTGTGTGTGTGTGTGTGTTTGGAGAGAGGAGAGAGAGAAGGACCCCTGTTGACACAGGATTCAGCACAAGGTCAGCAATTCCAACCCACCATTCATGTCACAGGAGAAAATGAGGTCTGATTGCTCTTATAAAAATGTACAGTCTTGGGGAAAAATGAGGACCTAATGTTGGGGGTTTAAGTGGAGAGAAAATGTTTTGAGAATGATGTACAAATGCACTTTACACAATTGATGTGTGCATGGATTGCGAT